TAATAAAGTCAAAAATACAAATTTTATAATTTAATAAGTAAAAATATACAAAATTTGGAAAGTGATCAAGAAACAAAATCCAAATATATATCGAATATTACTAATAAATTTAACTATTATATTATAATTATGATTACAATAATTATGAACATATAAAAGCCGTAGTAATATCACATTTTTTTAAGTTTTGAAATATGCCACTGTTTTTTTATTAGTGGATAATAAATAATTTTCATTAGGATATTTAGAAAAATAAACAAGCAAAACAAAATTAAATAATTTTCATTAGGATATATTCATTGTTGTTGTTGGTGTAAAGAAGGAATATATCATTATGTGGATTCAAGTTTGTCACCATCTTTTATTTTGGTTAATGGACTATTTTTTTTTATTCTAATTATTTATGTTACTAACTATTATAATGAAAACTATTTATTACCCCACACCACTAATAAAAAAACGTTGGCATACTTTACTACAACTTTATATATGTTCATAATTATAATAATAATTTATTACTAATTTAATGTTTTAGATATAGTTATTACAATAATTTTATTTTTAACTATATTAATATCAATAAATTTTACAATAAAAATTAAATATAAAAATAATAAGAACTCGTGCATTGTACAGGTGATAATTTAAAATTTACGTATAAAAAATAACATCAGATATATAAATCATGTACCTTATTATATAATATGGATAACTTTTTTTAAATTATATATATATATATATATATATATATATATATCAACAAATTTTATAAAAAAGAATCAAAATATAAAAAAGAATAACCCGTGCATTCTCATCTAGTTTAGGTGAAATGATTTAAAAATAAAGAGGTAGATAGGGAGAATAACTAAGAAATACCCCAATTTGATCGTTTTAGATATTTATTCAGTAACTAAATTTAATTTTAGCCATAAATAAAACAAATAATACGCAATATAACAGATACCTCCTAAATCTCTCTAAACTCTCGTTTCGTTCCCATTGGTTTTGTACCAAAATTCGTCCAAACGATAATATTTATATATATCAACTAATTTATACAAATTAAAAATTTCAGGTAGTTTGGATATTTATCTATAATTATCGTATTGGATACAAATGTTAATTCAGATATTAGTGGCACCAGGGGTTTTCTGACGTGGATAATACACAATTACCAATATATACAATGTAAAAAATAATATACAATTACATAATCACATATTAAATGGCGAGATTCAACAGAGACTATACATATATATATATATATATATATATATATATATTATTGATTGTGGATAATATGTATGGGAGGAGAAAGAACTAATTTTAGACCCGCAATATCCGTTATCATTGAGTTGCTGTATTTTCCACGTGGACCAATAAAATTAGGTTATTACAATGTTTTAGTTTTTGAATTTTGTGGTTCCCCACAATAGAG